GTAGCCCAGGCTGGCCTCGAACTCACAAAGATCCGCCTGGCTCTGCCTCCCGAGTGCTGGGATTAAAGGCGTGCGCCACCACCGCCCGGCCCTGTGTTATTTTTGAACCCCTGGCAGTGGGAGGTTGTGAGACGAGAGGAGGAAAAACAAGGACTGCTCCAGGAAGAAGGCTTGCTTTGCCATTTCCATCTCTTAAGGTTGTTTATTTGGCCCATATGCTGTATTTGGTTTCATTGTCCTCATGGTAGCTTCCTGCTTAAAAATTATTCAAAAGCCATATGGCATGGAGGAGATGAATGTGACTGATATGTCCCTATTATGAAATTAACCTTATTTGGTTGTCATGCTCAAAATGAACCCAGGAGCCTCATGCTTTTCAGCCAAATGGAAGCTCCTAAACAAGCAAAACTTGCAGAGAAACCATTCAGGAAAAAATATTTCTTTATACTCTGAGTTCATAATAAATTGGGGGGATATTTTTGTCACCATACTGTCTCCTGTGTGACACTCCTAGTTAGAGTCAGGCAGAACCTTCAGCTGTTGGGGGGCCCTGCTGTGTGAGCATCTCGCTTTGGGATGGGGAAGCGGCAGGTGCACACCCATGGAAAGCTCTTCAGAGCAGGGGCAACCAAGAGCCTTTGCTCAGTGCATCCAGGAGGAGTCAACTATTGCTTCAGAAGCCACGCTTCCTCATTCTCAGGCAAGGACCTTCATCTTCACGCCCTGTCTCTTCTTAGTAAGAGGAAATCAAAGAAAATTATTTGACCTTCTGGTGATGATTCTTAACAGTTACAACAAGTTTACTAGGCACATTATAAATTTTTATAAATAAAACTAAAAATAACAGATATCACATGTCACATGCATGGACACAAGCAGGGAAGCAGTGGCATAGAAAGCTCTCCGTACATGAACTGTATCTACTTAATCATCCTTCCAGACCCTGTAGGGCAACATCTTATGGAGAAATTTCCAATAGCTTGGCCAACTTGAAAAAAAAAAACATACTTGATGGTGTGGTTTGGGTATATTTCAGCTGTCTTTTCCAAAGTCTCCAGTGCTGTGACATGAGAGGTGGCTAATCCTTTCAGAAGAGGGACCTTCAGATTGCTTAGGATGTTGGGACACATGTCTTCAGAAGACACTAGGTAGCTCTCATAGTACTACCTCTAAGATTTAATGACACATACATGTGAGCCCAGTCACTGTTCAGCTTCCTGCTTGGAGATATGATTTTCTTCCTGTTCCTCACAAGTGATCTCCAGAGCCAAGCTAATCCTGCACCATGCCCTTAAACTCACACTACAGTGACTAAATAATCTCACCGTGAAGTTAGTCTGCTTTCAGCGTTGTCTTGTCACAGAAGACAGTTGTCTACTTGCCCTGATGTTGACTGCAATGAAGGGAATTCACAGTAACTGTTCCTTAAGGGAAACAAAGAGTTCCAAATCGCTTTGACAATTTATAGACAGCATCAAACCTGCTATCCTTTTTTATGTATGTGTATGTGCATATAATCTTATAGAAACAATTTTTTAACAAAGAGAAAGCTTCCCTATGGCCAGCTGTGGTTCTTCATTAATACTCAAAGCAAAGGGAAAGGCTCTTTGAGTGTGGAGTACTGCTAATCCTGTGAAAGGTGAAGAAAAACAATGAAGTAACCCCATTAAACCTTTAATAATAGGAAAATCCATTTAGAAGATAACTAAATTCCAGGAAGTGATGATTGTTGCGATTGCAGGGTTGTGACAAATGCTGACTCATGTCTGTGCCTCCTGAGACTTTGGGATAAAACAACTGAATCAGATTTCCACTGGAAAATGCTGCATGGAAGCAGAAGTGTCTATGATGACCTCATTCTGAAATTGAGTGAGCTGTTTGTAGGGCATTTGCCTAGATAGGCTCAGTACTGCAACAGCAATAAATGAGCTTCTGGCTGGGACTGTCGGGGGCTGGAGATGGGACTCCATGGTTAAACTGGGACTGTCGGGGGCTGGAGATGGGACTCCATGGTTAAGCTGGGACTGTAGGGGACTGGAGATAGGACTCCATGGTTAAGCTGGGACTGTAGGGGGTTGGAGATGGAGCTCCGTGGTTAAGAACATGGAATGCTCTTCCAAAGGAGTTGGAATAAATTCCCAGCATCCTCATGGTCACTCACAACTATCTGTAACTCTGGTTCCAAGGAATCTGAGGCCTTTGGCTTCTGAAGGCACCAGACCTCCCCGCAGTGTACACTGGATGCTTTGAGACATTTTCCTTAATCATTTATGCAAACAAAAACAATAAAAAATTCCACAGAAATGACCCATTTTTCAGTTATCTAGAATTGCATTGTTTTGACCACTTTATATGTTAAAGTGCCAACTTACAAACTTTATGAAAAACCATGGAATTTGTGCCCTGGATTTGTTTAAATATCAAGCTAAGTTTTTTGTAAAGTGGATTTCTCTTTACATCTACATTTTAAGTAGAATATCCTCATTTGTTTATATTTTCATTTTCACTGATATGTTGATGCATAATATTTAAATGGAAAGACATAGGGGGTTATCTATATGCATGATTGACATAGAATTGAGATGAATGTGGTTTTTAGATTAATTTATTTGTCACCTAATTCACAAATTCACTGAAGTAAGAGACTAAATGGTTAGGACTGAATTTAGCTAACTCTTCAACTTGCTTTTTGCCCGACTTATCATTAATATTGAGCACGGTGTACCCCCCCACCCCCAATGCTAGGATATTGGTTGAAATTGTTTTTGATTGGCATACAAAAGTAAAAAATGTTTCAATGATGAGACCAAATTGTGACTTATGATGTGGCCTTTGCATTTGGAGGAGCAATGGTCCCTTGGGAGGTTTGATGAGTATTTCGTCATCTTTCTCTTCTTAGTGACACTGCTCTTTGTGGATTAACCACCTCACAGCTTGTGTGTGGTCTCGGAGCCACAAGAAGCAATATGATACACAGGTCTTTTCTAGCTGCTGCCTCAGAATTGACTTTATAATTTCATTATTAACCTTCAGACAGGTTTTATGTGATTTCTGATCACACTTTTCTGTTCTATGGAACAAGTCCAGAAGAATTCCCAATCTTTTCTGTTTCTATCATGGCTTTCTTTATTGAGTGTCTTACACTGGGAATAAATACATTCAGACTTTAAAAATAATTAACTTTCTGCCTTATTTCTTTGTCCCTTTCATGCTCTGTCTTCCAGATTATTAGCTTATTAAATGTTTTCACACCCCAGAAGACGCTGGAGGAGTTCCAAGACGTGTAAGTAATAAAACAACAAAGGTAATGAAGGTTGAGCCCAGCCCTCACTCAGATCACTCCAGGGGATGACAAATATAATAGCAACAGAGACGAAAAGGATGAAATTCCTTGCAAAGATCAAAGAGACCTAAGGAACAGGACCCAGGAAATGAGGTAGCAGTATGCAGTGGCGATTCTGCTGTGGTGTGACCTCCTGAAGGACACTTCTGCCTCCTTCTGGCCTATATGGTTTGTTGTTCCAAACTCTTGGTAAATCAGGGAAGTAAGAAAGCCTTATTTATTACTTATTCATTATTTCTGTGAAAATTTTCAGGATGGGTCAGTTCATTTTGAAAACTATTAATAAAGGACATGCTGCAATTTTTTTTAACCTATCTTTGCAGTGCCTTTAATTTGTGCAAAATGAATCTGTCTAGAATGTCGGTGACAAACACAACCTGAGGACAGTGATTCTAGGGCACAGTGTCTTCTTCTACACAGTTGCAGCACACTTTAGAAGTGGCTGTTTTGATTCCTGTCCTCATTTGTAATCATGCTGCTTAGGAGAGAGTTAAAGAAATAGAAGGAAAAGTATGATCACTAAAGGTTAGAGAACAGATGGGCATGAGCCACATACTAATTAGTGATGCTGCTATATGCATGTGGTTGAGTCGCTGCAGCTGTCCATCTTGATATACTTGGAAGTTTCCCATATTCTCAACTCAAGCAATCACAGAACTTGGAAGTTCAATAAACTTAGATGAAGTACAGGACTCCAACAGTGATGGAAGGTCATTCTAGAGCCTCCCTTCTGGAACTAACATGATGGGTTTACCTTCTAGTTACCTAGTGATGGAACTGATGGATGCCAACTTGTGTCAGGTGATTCAAATGGAATTGGACCATGAGCGGATGTCTTATTTGCTGTACCAGATGTTGTGTGGCATCAAGCATCTCCACTCTGCTGGAATTATCCACAGGGTAAGAACATTTACTCTAGAACTGCAGTGTGCTGACTGCTAGGGAACAGAAAGAACAGCACTGAAGTACTTTTTTAGGGAGAATTTGGTCAAACACCACACACTTGGTAATTTTGTAGATGGGTAGCGTTAGCCCCTGACTGATATGTAGAAGGACCTTCTGTGTGTGCTCTGGTAGAGTTTGAGTTCATATTTTTGCTCACTGAGAGCCTTATATTTCCTAGCCCTTTGACATTCAAAGTCGGATGAGTAGCTGAAATAAGACAGCTCATTTCCATTCTTCCTTTCTGGAAAAATAAGGGCAGCTACCCTGATATGCTCCCTGTCAGACCTAAAAATGACACTCATCCTTAAAGGCTTATGTTGTCCTAAAGAGAAACCTAAGAGATGGCAACAAATGATGGGTTATTTTCCCCAAGACTTCTTCCCATGCGAGCCTAAGTTGTAGAAATAACAGTACAGTTCTCTTCTGAACTTAAAATATTGTGTAAGGGCATTTTTCAAAATCTAAAACTACCTATGACTTGTCACAGTAATCCCGTGCTTCCCACAGGGTCCTGCAAGCAAGCTGTTGCATTGCAAGGCTGCCCTGTGTAGTGCTAGACTAGAAATCGCAGTTCTTGTAGACACTCACTTTCACTTTCTCCCCCTGTTCCTGTTGTCAGGACTTAAAACCCAGTAACATTGTGGTCAAGTCTGATTGCACTCTGAAAATTCTTGACTTCGGACTGGCCAGGACGGCAGGCACAAGCTTTATGATGACTCCGTATGTGGTGACACGATATTACAGAGCCCCCGAGGTCATCCTGGGAATGGGCTACAAGGAGAACGGTAGGGATGATCCTGGAACAGCGAAGCAGTGGGTTCATGCTTTAGATAACTGGGAGTCATTTTTGTTGTAACCAAGAAATTCTTTGGAAAAAGAACTGCCAGCGTTCATATTCAGAGAGTTCTTAAATACCACTAGGGGGGTCAGGCGTGAAGAATGTGAAGCATGTTTCTGAGAAGCAGGTTTGGCTACAGGAACTCTAAAATTCGATAGCTGAAAAAGAATTGCAAATAGAGTGTGATTACACAGTCGGATGACTGCTGACTGGCACACAGGCTTCAGACAGGGAGAATCACTGCTAACTTCATTGCAGTGTAGTCCAGATATTTGTGGAAGCTGTGAGAAAGATGCTTTGGTTAAACACTTGGCTTTTGTGTAATATCTCGGGTTGATGGCTGTGGTCCTCAAGAAAGACTAACAAAGATATTACAGAATCTTGCATCAAGTCAAGTTAGCATCATTCAAACTATAAGCTTCTTGTTCTTATGTCAAATCCTCTGTAAGTAATATTTAGTGTAGCACTATCTAGTAAATCTTAATAAATCCAAGAAACCATGTAAAGGAAAAAAAACATTCAATTTTACATTATTTCTTTGACAATAAAATCTAATGTACATGAACATGTTGAAAGAAAGATCCAGAAAAATATTTGAAATTCAAATTGAATTTTGATTGATTAAAACAGAGGGTTTATAAAGAACTTCTTAGAAAGCTTTGCAGTCTATCATTTTGTCGGAAATACTTACTATATAGAGCCATGTTGAAAACCATATCAAATATACTTAGAATTTATATTAGCTTTAAGTTAGATCTGTATATGTGCCCTGAATACCTGTTTTTATGTTTTATATGTTTAATTCCTAGTAATCCATTTTCACACAGTTCATCAAAACTACTGCTGCTGCGCTTTTTAGTGTAATTACTGCAGAGCGCATTTATGTGCCATTGAAGTTAGAAACAACCATTTGCATACTTCCAGTCTAGAGGGTTGCTGTCACACTGATGTCTTTGTATGCAACAAAGGGACAGTCAGCCCTGAGCAGGCCACTGCCAGAGCTGTGTCACCTTCTGACTTACGTTCATGGAGCCTTCCTCCTGAGTGAAACCCAAGGAGGATTAATTAAAGAGAAGTCAAGAATTGAGAACCAGAGTTACCAATAATTTATTGTATATTTTAAGGGGAAGATTTTGAATGTCCCAACCCAATGGGCTGTAAATATGCTAATTACCCTGATTTGATCACTACACATTGTGTGCATATAGCAAATATCCACAGGTATGATTACTATGTGTCACAAAATTTAGGAGAGATAAGGACAGACAGAGCCTGGAAGTCTGTTTGTCTGGTCTGTGTTTTTAGATCTTTGTCACACAGACAGAAGGTATTCAATCCCTGTTTCTGTCTTTATTCAAAAGGTCCACAAAACAATGAACAACCCTCCATTGCTGTGCAGGGAGGTGTGTCTCGTACCCATGTGTCATCCTTTTCTGTCAGCTGAGGGTGGTTATCATGCAGAAAAAAACAGCTTGTTCTTGCTCCAGGCATGCCCCTCCTGTTCACCTCACCCTGCTTCCCACCCCTTGGAGCAGCTCTGCCTAATGTTTTTGTTTTAAAATCTCCTTGTCCCTGATAAATGTGAAACTGGAGAGTGTTAAGGTCGGTTAACATGTCGGTTAACAAACAGGACAATTGGGAAATAAATACACGTACTTCAGTTTTAACACCTTTTATGCATTTTCACTTCTCAATATCTCCTTTGTGCATATGCTAATTTATCATATTTCTCAAAATATTTAAGATAGAAATTAGAGCTGATCTTTATCTTAAAGAATAATTTCTGAGTGAAAAATCAATGCTGTAGCACAGGATTTACAGTTTCTCACCACAAAGCTCACCGACCATTTCCTAGTCTCTTGGATTTGGTTGAATGAACTCTTATTTGGGACAAAGGATGTTCTCTTGCTGCCCACTGCACACAACTAAACAAAATAGGAGTGAACACAGTCCCCCTACAGGGATGAATGTAGCAAATGCTATCAAAACCGTCTCCGAGACCTTTAGTTGACACCTGCCTGGAGATACCCTTGGCTTTGTGAGTGTTCTCTTCCTGTCTGTGACATCGCCAACTCATGTCAATAAAGATGCAGTTTGGGCTCCCATCGAATACTCTGTTTTACACATGAATTTGAGCTCCCACTGTAGAGACTGTGTGATAACACAATGTGAATTTTAACTCACATTCAGCCACTGGAGGTGGAATGTGAGAGTCTTCCTTTCCCGTCACCAGAGGCAGCTACCTCAGTTAACCTTGCTTTCCTCCTGTCTTCGCTCCCTCTCTCCTGTTCCAGTGGATATATGGTCTGTGGGATGCATCATGGGAGAAATGGTTCGCCACAAAATCCTCTTTCCCGGAAGGGACTGTATCCTTGTACCTTTGGCTTCACCTGTTTTATTTTCTCTTCCTTTAAACTCGTAATGATTTTACCAGCAGAGTAAAGACAGAGCAGAAAGTTGGGTAAGTGGAGTACTTGTCACAATGAAGTGACAATTTCCATACTCTCTCCAGCACTGTCGACTGCCTACCACATGACTTCTTCTTATTAACTTTCCAATAGCAAGCCTTTCTTAGAAGCTAAAATAGGAATGCCATTTTTCAGAAGTAATGGAGACCACCAGACTCTAAATGAAAAACAAACAAAACAACAACAACAAAAACATAATTAGTAAATGAAGTCACTCTTTGCAGGTCATTTCCCATGATTTTTCTAAAGTGATTTATGATCCACAATATTCAAGCCTGATTTCCCTACTTACTCTCCCTGACAGTCTAAGCTTTCATCCACTGGTCCACGCATAGACAGGTGCAAATAGGCCACTGTAGCATGCATAGCCCCAGTAAAGGGTGAACTTCAACCCTTAGGAATCATAATTATCATTCACATTAATAGAGGTGACTTTAATAGGTCTTCATTCACTTGAGGTTGAGAGGTTGAGAGATGGTATATACATAGGCAATTATAGGGCTCTGCTTGCTGCACCAGAGTGAGAACCTGAGTTCAAATCCCCAGCACAGGAGCAGAAGCACACAGCTGTAACTGCAGCGGAGGGGCAGACCTCACTGCCAGCCAGCCTAGCCAATCAAAGAGCTCCAGGTCTAGTGAAAGCCCCTCACTCAGAACTTAAGGTGGAGTGTGACTGAGGGCAATACCTGACAATGACCTCTGGCCTCCACCTGCACCAGCACCCTTGAACACACACACACACACACACACACACACACACACACACACACACACACACACACAAAGATTAGGTCATTGTTTTTCCCACTAGGTTTCTTAGAGGGCTGTGTATGCATGAGAATTACTAAAGCAGATGAATTTCTTCAGTGACCAGAAATTCACTCTCTAGTAAAAGTACCCTTTTGTGTTTATGATATGTGGAAAATAAACTTCATGTATCAGCAAGAGAACATACTTTGATGAATGCAGAGTATCTTGCTAATGAATGCTAGTGCAAATTATGGTCAACACTAACTGACAGCTTCAACGGCAGTACAGTGTTAACTCAGAATAATTGGTAGAGATTTGGATTTTGTCAATAAGAAATATGGCAGTTAACTCTATTACACATTTTATTTGAGGAAGTTCTATTAAGAAATCCTTATATAAGAAAGACTATAATTTTATTTCAACATGAAAAGAAAGGTTAGAGTTCAAAAACTATGACTTAATAAGAAGCTAATAGCAAATGAGCATTTATGCATTCTGCTGGATATTAGTATGATATTGCTGAGTCCCAGCATTGACACAAAGTGCTGGTCTCTTCTAGCCCTTCAGTGATAAAGACCCCGGAGCCAGATGCCACTTCTCAGTCCTTGAAATTATAAATTGAATTACAAGTGCTGAATGAATACAGTGCTTACCACTATCTAGAAATACGCAAAGCATGTGCAGTGACCTGTAATGACTTCCTACTGAATATGTGTGAAGTGACAGGATTTTGAGTGTATTGAGGTAAAACACATATCGATACAATTGATCTTACCTGTTCCTTCCTATTCTTTTTTATTGTTAATATTGTCACATTTTAAATTGTATGCACAATTTACATGTGGGGCTGTTGTCTTTTTCATTGCATAGCGCTGGTCTAGAGGTTGAGGCAACCCTGTGACATCCTTGTGTCTATAATTCATTTTACACGATCATTTGCCTCATGCCTTTGTCCACAGGCACATTTCAGATGTGACTACATGAGACTTTTTCTTTACATCAAGATAGTTATTTGTAGTTTGAGGATCAATTACATAACCAATGTGTCTGAACATTATAACCCATATTCACATGTCAGTGCACTGATCTTACTCACAAGCAGAAATTATTTTTTGTGCTTTTGCCTTTGGGATAAAATACATTAAAAACAGAGAGAGGTACCTCCCCATCACTGCTCAGAGTGGAGGCTGCAGTTCCTGTGGGTCACCTGCTGGTGGAGAAAGACAGGTCAGGATTTCTCAGCAGCCTGAGACCTAGCTGTCCTAGGTCACTTTTCCACAGAGCGAGGCCCTCCTGGGAGCGAAATGTAGCTCTCCACTCACTTCTCAGAGTTGCTCTTCTGTTGACAGTTGAAACTCAACAACTGACACAATTAGAATAAACTGAAACTTTTAAAATCTAAATTGACCCTTCAGCAAAACAGATTTTATTTTTGTTTTAGAAAAATTTTGAACCTGAATGAAACTGTGTAAAAGTCAGTATAGAAAAAGCTGCATCCTGACACATGTTCTCATCAAGTCCTATCTCTAACGCAGAGAGTATAGACTGTAGGGAGGTCTGTGTGTTGTGTGCCTTTGTCACGAGTGGTTACGACACAGAGCACAGGTCTTTGAGAGCCAGGCTGACTGCCCTGTGTGATACAAGTCTACAACACTGTCACTTTCTGACTCGGGCTTCCTACTGTCCTTAGAGAAAGATCAGGCCATTGAGGAAGCTCACTGAACCACAA